TTTTGCCCCTAAACTCCCCAAAATTACCCAAGTACCATTGAAACTCTAAATTTGGCCAAAATTACCAAATTATCCAAAATACCCAAACTTGTTCAAAAAATCATTTCAAACCTTTTGAAAACACCCAAATTACCCAAAATCACAAAAAATTGCTAAATTACCAAAATGCCCCTTCTTAGCCCAAAGTTTCAAAAATTTCCAAAATATTTAAAATATTCCCAATTTCATTTTTCTCAACTACCACAATCCAATTTGGTTAATTTGACAATCTTTGATCAAAACCCCCAAATTGCCTTTAAAGGCCTAAATTTCCCTAAATTCACTTCAAATGTCTATCAATTTGATCACAATCTTCATCAATTTGATCACAATCTCCCCAAATTTTAATCCTAAACTCAAATTTACCTTTCATGTGACCAATCTAAACCAAATCCAAGTTCAATTGACCCAATGATTTGAGCCCAATTTTGATCTAAATCAAAACCCCTAATGTTTGCCCTATGACTTGGTTCCACCAAATTGAACCCTAGGGCCTACTCCATTGGTCTCAATTTGGACCCTAAACTCTTCATAACATTCCTAAAAAACAAACTTGACCTTCAATTAGCCTTGGTAAAGCCTCAATTTCATTTAATTTCAACTTAATCCAAAATCCCTAAATTGCCCCAAATTGGCTATGTCCCCAAATTTCACCATATTGATTGCCTTAATCCCAAAATTGGCACCCAATTTATGTTGAAAACTCTTCATGGAATTCTTATTGATCATTTTCAACCATCAATTTGGACTTAGCCCAAGGTTAGCCCAACATGCCCAAAATGACCAATTTTCAAATTCCTTCAAATTGACCCTTCAATTGAACTCAAAATTCTTTCAATTCTTCATAAAAAATGTTCATTACAATCATCTACATCAAGTGAATTAATCAATTGGGTCAATTGACATGGCTACCCTAGCCCAAACCCAAGTTTTGATCATTTGAACCCAAATTGGACCCATGCACTGCCCCACGCCCAAAAAAAGCCCAACCCACCCCAAAGTCACAAAATTAATGATTCAACAACCAATCCTAGAACCCCTAGGACTGAGCCAAGACCATCTAACCCAAGCTAGATGAGCCATGCACCAAGGGTCCCCCAAATTAAGGGATTTGATTTCCATATTTGTTTAAACTTAAGATATCTTTGCCAAAACTAAGCCTCAACCCATTAAATTGCTGTGACATATCCCCCTGGGTTCCTTGAGCTCCTAGCCACCTCCTTCTGCCATGGCCGACTGGCCTAGTCGCCGAAAAAGCCAAAACTGAGGGCCACCCCCTCTTAAACTTCACCCAATTCAAACCTAGAGGCCATCTCACCCATTTTCAATTGTAGAGCCCCTCTGCCCTCCACCTAAGCATCACCTTGCACCGA